TTGATCTGAAATTCAGTTCTATTTCCTTTTTTGGCAGAGAATCCCTTTGTGATGAGTGTAAAAAACCATTTGCAGGATAAAGCATTTAACAAGATGTTGAAGAATGTCTGTAAACTCAAAAGAAACAACAGTTGTACAACAAGCCCAAGAAAAAAGAAACGGACATAGTAACAGTTCTTTATTAACAATAACAATTTTGTACATTCGTTTTATTGAAAGTTAGAAAGTTTTTGGTATTTTTTGGGATGAAATACTAGTATGAAAGGTCTAGTAATATTTCATACCTTTATAAAAATAGTTTACAATATTCTAGTGTTTATGAGAACATTTGTCCAGAAGTGTGTACTAACTTAATCACCCATATGAATAGCGTACATACACTTGTGTAAACATTCTTTATAATACTGCTATAACTAAATAACACAATATATCAAGGGTATATAAGACAAGGGTTTACAACTTTGATATCCATGTCGTGATATGAGATGAAGATCCTATTTTATGTAGATAGATAACTGTACTTTGGAATAGTTGTTGAGATTCTCTTGAACAGTGTAACAAGATTACTCCTCATGTACAACATATATAAATTTGGTTGTTTAGAATTACTTTAAAGTTGAGTTGAGCACTTTGCACGGACTCTATATGTACACTTTACAGCGATGTGCGTCTTAGCAACATAGAATGTGACGTAGCTAAACCACCGAGAATTCAGAAACACCAACAAACAAGTAATATATAACTAATATTTCTGTAAATACCCAGGCGATTTTGTGATAATTTGCAAATCGTTTGACTTGAAATTGGGATCTTCATTGTATATCACATCAGTTGTATACTGCTACAAATCCAGGATTATATCCTTAAAATAATTATAATCTCTTCCTGAACTGATCTGCATAATGATCCTCTTAAATCCCCTTCTCTTGATTCAATAATATTGACAAAATATATCCAATTTCTTAAAGTGGTCACTAGAGGGCACCATTATAAATGATTGAGGTACTTAATTTCTTGGCTGATGTACTGGTGGTGTGGAAGAATGGGATAAGCCAGGATTAAAAAAGATCCATGCTTTGAAGTGCTTTCACAGCAACCACACCTCCAGCAATAGTTGTAGCAGTTACTGACAGTGATTGGAGAGACAGTAAGCTGACGCCAGTAACACCATGGCCACTGAAAGAAATACAAAATGGTGGTCAAATATTACCCAGAATTCAATCCACTTAATGTTTGCTGTTCCATCTAGTTTTGTGTTTTCTGGCTGCTACAGTAATGCACTTGTGTTCATTATGTGGAGGGGGGACCACCTGTTTGGAATATAGCTTGTTAGATTTCAAGTTATGAGTGTCTGAATGTATGTGTTGGGTTAATTATGTTACATTGCATGTACTATAGTATGTGTTGTAGTGT